GCCAGCCTCACTGAGCCCCCAGTGCCTATACCTCTTGCTAGCTGGCCCCAAGACTTGCACTAGCAGCAGCCGGCCTAGATTCACAGCTTGGTTTCTCTTGGGAATCTCCAAGCTGAGCACAAGTAGCAGCCATCTCAGATTGCATTACAGCTCAGGAAGGGTGGCCCCAGACAAAACACAAGTGATGGCTGACCTTGGCTTAGACCACCTGGGAAACCCCAGAGCCTGGGCACCCAGTGGACAGCTACAGACCGTGCAGGAACACCAGCACCTGCCCCTGCACCGCTGATCCTCCACGGTGGGCAGAAGTTGGTGGTCAGGGGTCGCAGTCAGTCCCCGCAGCTGACTGGCCTTAGTAAATCTCTCCCAGAGCTGCCAATAGCAGCCAAGGCTCAACTACAAGAGGAGGGTGTACACAGCCCCACAGTGGATGTACCCTGAGCACCCAGCCTGGGTGATAGGGGAGGCTGTGCCACTGGACCCTACAGGACACCTACTACATCATGCCACGCCACCAAGACACAGTCAAAGCAGCTCTACCTAATACATAGAAACAAACAGAGGGAGGTTGCCAAAGTGAGCAGACAGAAAAACATGGGCCAAATAAAAGAACAGATCAAACTCCAGAAAAAGAACTAAACAAAATGGAGATAAGCAATCTATCAGATGCCGAGGTCAAAACACTGGCTATAAGGATGCTCAAGGAATTTAGTGAGATCCTCAACAGCATAAAAAAAGACCCAGTCAGAAACAAAGATACACTAATTGAAATAAAGAACATTTTACAGGAAAACAACAATAGAGTGGATGAGCCCAAGAATCGAATCAATGATGTGGAACATAGGAATCAAAACACAGCCAGTCAGAACAAGAAAAAGGAACTCCCCAAAATAAGGATAGTACAAGCATCCTCTGGGACAACTTCAAGAGGTCCACCATTCCCATCATAGGGGTGCCAGAAGGAAAAGAGAAACAGCAAGAAACTGGAAATCTATTTGAAAAATAATAAAAGAAAATTTCCCTAATTTGGTGAAGAAAATAAACATGCAAGTCCAGGAAGCACAGAGTCCCAAACAAGATGGATGCCAAGAGGCCCACTCCAAGACACATCATAATTAAAATGCCAAAGGTTCAAGATAAAGAGAGAATCTTAAAAACAGCAAGAGAAAAGCAGTTAGTTACCTACAGGAGAGTTCCCATAAGACTGTCAGCTGATTTCTCCAAACAAACTGCAGGACAGAGGGGTTAGCAAGAAATATTCAAAGTCATGAAAAGAAGGGACCTACAGCCAAGACTGCTCTACCCAGCAAAGATACCATTTAGAATCAGAAGCAGAAAAAGAGCTTCCCAGACAAAAAAATTAAACCCAATCATTATTATAAGAAATGTTAAAGGAACTTAATTAAGAAAAAGAAGATGATCAAAACTATGAACAATAAAATGGCAATACATACATATCTACCAACTACTGAATCTAAAAAACAAACTAAGCAAACAAGAAAAACAGAGATAGAATCACAGACATGGAAAAACAAAGACACTGAAATAGAGAACAGGGGAACAGTGACCAGAGGGGAGAGGGGAAGGAATTTCAGGGGAAAAAGAGGAAGGATTTACAGGAACTAGTATAAAGGACACATGGACAACAACTAAGGGGGGTGGAAATGGGAGGGAGGTGGGGAGAACTGGGGGGGTGGGCTGGGATGGGAGTAAAAGACAGAAGACTGTACTTGAACAATAATTAAATTAAAAAAAAATTTTAAAGAATCATGGACATGGAGACCGTTTTCATGGTTGCTAGGTGGGAGGGGGAATGGGTGATGAGGTGAGGGAATTAAGAAGTATAAATAGGTAGTTGCAGTACAGGAAATGGAGTAGCCAAAACACCTAAGTATGACCCATGGACATGAACAGTGATGTGGGGTTTGTCTGAGGGAGTGGGGATGCCAGAAGGAGGGGAGCAAAGGGGAAAGATTAGGACAACTGTAAGAACATAACCCATAAAACATAATTTTTATAAAAAGGAAAAAGAAAGTTGCTAAGAAAGTACATCTTTGCCTTGGCTGCTGTGGGTCAGTGGATGAAGCACCAGCCAGCAAACCAAAAAGTTGCCAGTCGAATCCCCAGTTGTGGCACATGCCTGGGTTGCAGGCCAAGCCCCCAGCTGCAGACATGCAGAAGGCAACCCATCAACGGTTCTTTCACACAGTGATGTTTCTCTCCCACTCCTTCTCCCTCCTTCCCCCTCTCTCTAAAAGCACATAAAAAAATCTTTTAAAAATGAAGAATTAAAGAAATGTTACTATAAACTCAGCAATTATTTTTTTAAATAGATATTAAAAGTTCTTACAGAAAAAATGTATGACTGTGAGATGATGGATGTCAGTGTAAGATTTTACACATTAAGATAAACTTAATGTCAGTGTAAGATTTTACAATATATACATTTATCAAATCATTGTTATATAGCTTTAATTTGATACTATATGTCGATTATATCATTGAACTGAACAAATGTTTCTTTTTAATAATGTCCGTGCATTTGTTCAGAGCAGACTGATACTTTTAAATGTAATCCACAGACCAGAAGCACTGCCCTGACATTACATCTGACACACAGTTAAATGTGCAACACAACCACGGCCTTTAAAAGTCAGAATTCTGTGATTATGGTTCCACCGTTTGTAGGAAGAAAAACTGATCACATTTTGAATAACAATAAAAGGCTACAAACAATTAGTCTACTATAATGTTTTGGATTTGATGGCACATTAACATCAAAAAACGATACAGGGCAATAACGGACATTGTGGTTTCAGAAAAAGAGGCACATATTAAAAAGAAAAAATATGCTTAGTACTGGCGGGCGTGGTTTGGTTGGTTGGAGCATTGTCTTGTGGACCAAAAGGTCACAGGTTCAATTCCTGGTCAGGGCACATGCCTCAGTTGCTGTTCGATCCCCAGGGCCTGTATAAGGAGCAACAGATCAACATTTCTCTTTCACATTGATGTTTCTCCCTCTCCCCACCCCTCTGCCTCCCATCTCTCTAAAATCAATGAAAAAAAAATTCTCCGATGACCATGAAAAAAATGGTTAAATGATAACATTCCTTAAGCTAGAGGTCTAGTAGGTTTGGTATCAAGTTCTAATGGAGAAATAATTCACCACCATAATCACAAAATAACTAAGTGACATATTTTTAATTTGTTCATGTGCATCCATAATGCTCATTTTAAAGCAAAGGTTTTTATTTTTCTGGTGCCATCAAGTGGTAACATTATGAAGTGTTCTAGGGTTAAATATAAATGACTTTGGACAAAAGAATCACACTGATGTGTTTTACCTATGTCAATTAAACACTAGTGATGTTTTAGCACAAAAAGTTATCTAAAAAGGAAAGGAAAAATATCAGAGTGGATTGTTTGCAACTCATTCCTATTTAAAACCCCCAACCCAAAGTAAGAGTTAAGAAAAAGAAGAAAAATAAGTAGATCTTGAAGACCAGAATGCTCCACTAGCAAACAAAAAATCCCAACAGAGCCCTGGCTGGTGTGGCTCAGTGGACTGAGTGTAGGCCTGCGAACCAAAAGGTCACTGGTTCGATTCCCAGTCAGGGCACATGCATGGGTTGTGGGGCAGGTCCCCAATAGGGGGTATGTGTGAGAAGAAACCACACATTGATGGTTTTCTCTCTCTCTCTCTCTCTCTTTCTCCTTTCCTTCCCTTCTCTCAATAAATAAATAAATAAAATATATAGTTTTAAAAATCCAACAGATTATGAAACTATTTGAAAAATAAGTCTGTACCAAAATGATATCTATTGTACTATCGGTCAAACCGAGAGAAGTGCTCCTTTCTGAAACTTCATTAACATGGCTGTAAAATAACTATTTTAAAGCCAGAATGGCACCAGGACAAAGAGGTCGAGAGGAAAGATAGCAGCAACGGAACCACAGGTGACAAGTGGCTACGGACGGGGGACCTGCGGCTGCCTGACGACCATGCACTCGGGATCTCCCCAAGTTCAGGAACTGGTGGCACTAGGCAGCTGTGGACACGAAAGGATTAAAAACAACAGACTTAGTTAAAATTGGTTAAAAAGCAGTTAGCGTGCCGCTACATACACTTCCCCTCCACGCCATACAGCCAAGGGCTCATCTTCACAGCACATGAGAAGAACGGAGTTTAGATCCCAGGGAGAGAACAAACTCTCCAGACCACAGGACACCGGGCACAGTGAGGGAAGGAGTAAAAAAGCATTAGTAACTCAGGATATTGTGGTAATCTGAGTGATACTAACACGTCAAAGACCACCAAAAAAAAACAAGGCAAATGATAATTTTCTAGAAAGAAGACCACGGGAGGAAGGTCCTGCCAACCTTCGATGTGTGTGTCCAGGAAGTCATGTCACTAACTGCAGCATGTTTCACTCTGCTTCTATAAAGAAGAGGCAGTAATTACACAGAAACTAGTGTTTAAAACAGAGGTGAGCTCTTCACCGACTTCAGCAACATTTAACACCACATGCCCCATTTCATCTCCATTCATTAGCTGAGAGTCTGCTGCAACTAAACAACACAGAACAAAACAGTAGGCAAACCTGAAAACCTTTTACACTCTTAGTTAAAAGCCCCTTTCACCTTGTCTATTCAGGCCACTGAGAGTTAAGGCTCTAAAGAATCTGTCGCCACTTCTGAGAGAGGTGAAGGCTGGTGAACACTGACCATGTCAAAGACAAAAAGGATTATTTGTAACAGAGACTAGAGACTTGATTTTTTAAACCCTGTTTTGTTGATTAACTGATCAAAGCATGTAGTTCCGCACATCTGATGCTGTCGTGCAACCGGAGGTACACACCCATATACAGGTCACTTAATCTTTCATTATTTATCATTTCAGTCTGTTTTTACGTAGGATTGTAACATAAAATATACTAGTATGTATACACTTTTTTCCAGATACCAACATAAGAAACATATTAATACAGATAAAACTGTACCTTGAACACCTTCTAGGAGTAAATCAACTCCCTTCCTATAAAAATCAGAAGCAGCTTCATAGTCATCTTCTTCTTCCTTTTTTAAAGCCAGCTTTATTAATTCTCCTGCTTTCTCCAAATAATCTCTCTTGCCAAGCTTGGATTTTAAACTGCCAGGAAAGAGGCTACGATTTTCCCGTTCTTCTTCTGTTTTGTTCGGTTCGCTGTCAGAAGCAACAGCCCCTAGTGCTGAAGGATCTGAAGAAAGACTGAGGCCAAAAGTTCTAATGGGAGAACTCTGATTGGAAGCCATTCCATCATCTAACTCAGCAGGAGAATCCACATCGACAGTGAGAGACACCAGATCGCTGTCACTGGAGAAGCCTGAAAATGTGATCACAACAGCAAACATTAAACTGAGAATCAACCAAAAGAACACAAATCACAATGACCATTCATTTTTCCATTCTACCCAAGTCAATCGGGAAGGCCGTAATTTACTATGGAGGTCAGTGTCTAGCAAAATGATTCAGCTCGGCTCATTCATTTTTGCACTCTTTCAGTAACTCTGGATGACCGTATCTTGCTGTAATCACCAAACTAAAACTGAAGACAAGTCTTGATCTAGCCTTGGTGTCAAAAAGAGCCTTTACCACAAGATCTTGTAAACCATGTACATACAGCTGCTGTGAACAGTATCATAAGAAAGGGAAAAGAGTAAGAGCCTTAGAGTAAGTTGAAAAAAAAGTTTCTGAAACCCAGCTCTTAAAACATGTTGTGTGACCAACAGTGAGCTACTTAATGGTATTACTCACTATGCAGGGCATTAAATGAGGAACAGAGTTAAAGTACATGAAGCCTAATAGACTGTCGCAAAATTATATCTATTATAGCAATTATATAATAATTATTTAACTATTAGATGACATACAGTCGGAGGTGTGCTTTCAGGTCACTGTCCACATCTGGAAAATGTATGCCATTCAGTTTTTTTTTCCTTTTTAAAGAACTGAATTTTTAATTTTTTGTTTCAGCCTCTTCCACAGCTTTTGGAGGTAGTTTTGGCCTGTATTCACATATTATTTTTCTGACAGAAAGTCAATAATAGGTGCTGTTGAAATTCATAGCAATGAAAATTACTTCTCCCATTTCATATAACTGACTTCATAGTAAATGAGCATGATCTACAATAACAGTTATTACTCTTTGGGTCTAAAAGCCTCCCTTTCCATGACTGATGGCCTCAGCGATTCTATAATGTGGGTTGTATCTAAATATTTACCAATCTTGATATTTAAAAAAAGCAGATTAAAAATTTTTTGATTAAACATTAAAGCCTGTTACATAACTTTAACGTATATTTTCCAAAACAAAAAACAGTCAGAAAAGCGGCACTGTGTTACATTTCTGTAGCTCTTACTAACAGAAGATGGCTGGATTCTCCTATCTGCTCTGGACTCCGTTGTCAGATGTTCTCATTGGAAGATAAAATGTTACACAGAGATGCAACTGCAAACAGCAGTCTTTTTAAATATTAGTAGTCTTTTTAATATTCCTTTTTGATAATACACCAAAACTTGATGAGTGGTTGTTTCTTAAAGCTTAGCTTCCATGTAGAACATAAATTCCTGTCAGTGAAATTTCTATTGCTATTACACTCAAATCCATCAGTCTATCTTACACACTGAATGGATCTTTTTATCCATCATGAGTGTGTAACTTTGCACATTGGTCCTTTTGAACATACTGGTCCTGAGTTACATAGATCTTCCAAATGGTGACAATTCCCATATAACAATGTCATCCCCAAGACCACATTTGTTATTATCACCATCAATTTCACCAGAAAATTCTTTAAATATCAGAAACCTGTCAAGCTCAAAGTAGAAGACACAAGTTCTCCAAAATTCTATATTTGGGTTGCAAACTTGAATTTTATCAGCAGTAACAAATACAGTCAGTCATTTTCCTTCGAATGTCAGCTCACTTCATTTACTTTTGAAAAAACATTTGCCCAACTTCCACTTAAGATGGCAGCATAGGCAGGCATAGCTCACCTCTTCAAACAACCACATCAAAATTATAACCATCAGAAATCAAACTGAATAAAGTCTGACCACTACAGAATTAAAGAAACCACATCCATCAGGACAGGTAGGAGGGGCACAGACGTAGAACAGGCTGGTCCCACACCCACGTGTGGTGGAAAAAATTCAGGAGGGATATCTTGGGAGATGATTCCCAGTTCAGGATTCTAGTGCCAGAATTTTAAATTCCCACAACTTCTGGCTGCAAAAACCAGCAGGGATTGAGTTAGTGGAAGAAACTTTTCTGGAGCCCCAAGCAGTTCCTCTTAAAGAACCCACACACAGTTCACCTACTCAGACTCACTCCCTGAGCTCCAGCACCAGAGTAGCAGCTTGAAAGGCACCAGTGTCATAGTGGGAGAGACTGAAGTGTCTGGCATCAAGGTGAGCAGAGGCCCTTGTCTGTTTTCTAAACTGTCCCCCCACAAAGCCACAGATCCAGCAAGTTGAGATTCCGTTAACCTGGCTAACACTGTTTGACCCATCCTGAAGATCCCCAGAGACTCCGCCCCTCCCAACATACAGCCCCACCCAAGCTGCTTTTCCATATGAATGGCTGGTCTTGGCTCATGCTTCACAACTTTCTAAATCCTCTCAAACAAGCAACACCTGGCCTCAATAAGCCCCAGGCCCAGCACTAGCAGCAGCCAGCCTAGATTCACAGCTTGGCTTCTCCAAACCCAGCACAACTAGCAGCCATCTCAGATTGCTTTATAGCTCAGGAAGGGTAACCACAAAACACAAGTGGGAGCTAACTGGGGAAAGCGTAGGGTCAGAGCACCATCACACTACCCCTGCACAGCTGATTCTGCACAGAGGGCTGAGGGTGGTGGTCAGTGGTCACAGCCAATCCTTGCAGCTGACTGGCCTGGGTAAGCCCCTCCCATTGATCTGCCAACAGCAAACAAGGCTCAACTATAAGAGGAGGGTATACTCAGCCCACACAAATGGTGCACCTCAAGCACCCAGCCTGGGTGATAGGGGAGGCTGTGCCACTGGACCCTACAGGACACCTACTACATTAGACCACACTACCAAGACACAGAGTCAAAGCAGCTCTACCTGACACATAGAAATAAATACAGAGAGGCTGCCAAAATAAGAAGACAAAGAAACATGGCCCAAATGAAAGAACAGATCAAAGCTCCAGAAAAAGAACTAAACAAAATGGAGATAAGCAATCTATCAGATGCCAAGGTCAAAACACTGGTTATAAGGTTGTTTGAGAAACTTAGTGAGATCCTCAACAGCATAAGAAAGACCCAGTCAGAAACAAAGATACACTAATTGAAATAAAGAACATTTTACAGGAAAACAACAATAGAGTAGATAAAGTCTGAGAGTCAAATTAATGATTTGAACATAACGAATCAAAAAACAACCAATCAGAACAATGAGAAGACAAAAGAATCCAAAAGAATGAGGAGAGTATAAGTAGCCTCTGGGACAACTTCAAGAGGTCCAACATTCCCATCATAGGGGTGCCAAAAGGAAAAGAGAAAAAAACAGCAAGAAAATGAAAATCTATTTGAAAAATAATAACAGAAAACTTCCCTAATTTGGTGAAGAAAATAAACATGCAAGTCCAGGAAGCACAGAGTCCCAAACAAGATGGATGCCAAGAGGCCCACTCCAAGACACATCACAATTAAAATGCCAAAGGTTAAAGATAAAGAGAGAATCTTAAAAGTAGATAGAAAAAAGCAGTTAGTTACCTACAGGAGAGTTCCCATAAGACTGTCAGCTGATTTCTCGAAAGAAACTTTGCAGGCTAGAAGGGATTAGCAGAAACATTCAAAGTCATAAAAAGCAAGGACCTACAGCCAAGACTGCTCTACCCAGCAAAGCTATAATTTAGAATCGAAGGGCAGATAAAGAGCTCCCCAGAGAAGAAAAACTAAAGGAGTTAATCATCACCATACCATTATGGTATAAAATTCTAAAGGGTCTTATTTAAGAAGAAGATCAAAACTATGAACAATAAAATGGCAAAAATGCATATCTATCAACAATTAAATCTAAAAAGCTAAGCAAACAAGAATAGAGACAGAATCGTGCATAAGAAAAGCATTTTGATGGTTGTCAGATGGGAGAGGGTTGTGAGGAAATGGGTGAAGAAGTGGGAGAGTTAAGAAGTACAAGTAGGTAGTTACAGAACAGCCATGGGGATGTAAAGTATAGGAAATGGAGCAGCCACAGAACTTACATGCATGTCCAACAGACATGAACAATGGTGGGGGGACTGCCTGGAGGGGGTGCTGGGTGGAGCGGGGCAAAAGGGTAAAAATCAGGACAACGGTTATAGCATAATCAATGAAATATAATTTTTTTAAGTCATTATAAAAATAAAATGTTTAAGTAAAAACATATTTGCCAAATTCTTAATTCTGAGTAATGACAGTTTGTGAATCATCCTTTAAGCAAAAATGGTGTTCCAGCCAAAAAGCAGCTCGTTCGTGGCTCAAACATCTGCACAGGTACTTTTTCGCATGACAACCGTGGCAGTTCAGTCTGCGGAGGTGTTTTATACACACTTCCATTTCGTCACACAGAATGTCAAAAAGGCACGTACCCAAAGACAGAGATTTAGTGAAGTTAAGTTTTTCCTGCTTCAGCACCGGCACCACTGCAAGTGTGTGCCCTGATCCCTGACGCAGGCCAGGGTCACTGTCCCCATTCACACTCCCGCACGGCGGTTTCATCCACCACTGTTTCTGCGTCATCGTGCAAATATGAATCTCAACGCAGCAAAAGGCGAGCCGTTTCCCAGATGCCTTGGGACTCCCAGAAAAGATCTCAGGAATACCCAGGGGTCTAAAGGCCATACTTTGAGAGCCACTGATCTACACAATCAAAAGAGAGACCAGCAATAGGGTTACAAAGGTCAGGCTCGAAAACAGCCGAGAGCTGCATCGCCCTTGAAGACCGACTGCCAGGGTTCTCAGAAAACTCAATATATTAAGAAGGAGATTACTTCCTCAGTGACTCAAAATTAAAGGTGAACTAGACTGTATTATCCTAGACCAGGGACCAGCTAACTTTTCTGTGGGCCAGAGAGTAAATATTTTGGGCTTGGTGGGCCGTCTTTCACAACCGATGAGCACTGCTGGGAGAGCACCAAACAGCCCCAGACAACACATGAATGACCACGCGCAGCTGGGTCCCAATAAAACTTTATGGATGTGGAAATGTGAATTCCATGTAATTTGCACACATCACAAAATAATATTCTTTTGAATTTTGTCGACATTTAAAACATAAAAACCATTCTTAGCTTTTAGGTCATAGAAAAACAGA